TATATATATGGAAAAGTTCAATAGAGAACCATTATTAATCAATGAACCAAGGAACCAATCCAAAGCGTCGGAATTTAAAGCGACCAACGGCAAAAGGAAGGGTTGTAAAATTTTATAATGGACGCACATGTACCGGATTATAACAAAACTCACTTCCTTTTTTTCATTTAAATTTTTTTTAGGCCAAGTTTTTTATCAAAAAAAAACCGAATGTACCGTTGTTCACGATTTTTCGTCTTCTTTCCATAGAGATCCATGATGATATATAAAAAAACGAACTTTTTTTTTGAAAAAAACTCACTTAATTTTCTTAGTTTTTTTAATATTTAAGTTTATTTTTATAAAAAAAACTAATTATACCAAAAATATTAATTTTTTGTACTCTATTAATAAACATCAACACCGATTAAAAAAAAACCTCGAACAGTGTAGATTCACACTGTGAATCTAAACTGTAAATATTTCAATTTTTAAAATTCACAATATGAAAAATCTCGAATAGTTCAGATTCACATTGTGAATCTGAATTATTATTATGCACACTGTGAATCTGAGAAGGTTCACAAAAAAAACCTCGATCATTGTCGATTCACACTGTGAATCTAAATTGTAAATATTTCAAATTTTAACATTCACAATGTGAAAAAGTTCCGACCATATTCACATTGTGAATCTGACTTATTATTATGCACACTGTGAATCTGAGGAGGTTCACAATGTGAATCTGAACATGTTTACAATATGAATCTGAACAGGTTCACAATATGAATCTAAACTAAAATATAGTTTTTTTTTTTTTTTATAACATGAATATGAATCTATGTTTAAAAAGTACAAAAAATATAAATTTTGATATATTTATTACTTTTTTTCTATAAAAAATAGACCTTAATTTTTTTCATTAAAGAAAATGAAGTGATTTTTTTTCGAAAAAAAAAAAGTTCGTTTTTTATATATCATCATGGATCGCTATGGAAAGAGGACGAAAAATTATGAAGAACGGAATATTCGGTTTTTTTTTGTTAAAAAACATGGCCTAAAAAAAATTTTAAACGAAAAAAAGTGGTGAGTTTTTTGTAAATTGTGGATTTTTTGGTATAATCCGTTGTGTGTGCGTCAAATGTAAAAGTGTACATCTATTTCTTTGGCCGTTGATCGTTATGATTTCCGACGCTCACGATTGGTTCATTGGTTCCTTATGGTTCTCTATTGAACCTCACCATATATATATATATATATATATATATATATACTAGTAGGATACCCGCGCGATGCAGCGGCGCCAGATAGATTCTTTCGTTAGATAGTTTTCATGCGGCGTTTAGTTTCCTTTTCGTGTTTCAGTCTTCTGGCGGCTTGTTTTGTGTCGGATAGTTCCTTTCGGTGAATAATTTGTAGCTAGGTACGTAGATGCGGGACGCCAGCTAGTTCCATTCAATAGATAGTTTCCACACGACGATTAGTTTTCTTTTAGCGGAAAATAGTTTCTTTCGGCCTTTTGGGAGGCTATTTTTTGGTTGGCAAGGAATTAATAGTTCATTTTCAGCGTTGGACAGCTTCATTTGATGATTAGTTTCCGACGGCGATCAAGTTTTCTTTCGACCGGGTGTTAAATGATAAAAATAAAAGTCCGTTACTTTGGGTTACAAGTAAAAATATAGTGTTATTTTGAGATAAAAATACATTAGGTGATGAATAATTTTTTTCTAGAGAACAGTTTTTTTTTCGATGGACAGAGAATAGTTTTCTTTTGATGATTGTTTTCATTTCGAAAACATGGTATATTTCAATGACATCATGCAATGTATGTTTTAATATCATTTAACACTAAATATATTTATAAGATTTGTACATATTTGTATTCCGTTTTTACAAATAGTTTTATTTGTGATTTGGGTTCTCTGGTTTAGAATTTTATGTTTTGGATTTAAGATTTACGGCAAAATGTTTAATAATTCATTGAAGCTCATATCCATCTCGATGGCTGCCGATTATTAAATAACTTAATGTTGGTTTAATTAGCATTTCAAATTATTTAAAATATTGTAGGGGTTAAATATGCATTACTTTTGTTAATGTGTCGTGGTGACAGAATTAAAATCAATTATATAAATTGATACATATAAAATTATCCAAACATTAGTATTAAAAAATAATAGGTAAATATCAATAAATAACATTTATAGAAAAACGATTCATATTTCATAATAAGTACAAATAAAAAAAATAGTAAAATTGAATTTTAATTTAGGAAGCTTATATCATTTTTAAAAAAATATTCCAGAATATTTTGTCTTTCAAACTTGGTCCCTCTTTTAAAATTCTCATACAAATTTCTCTTTTAAAATTCTCATACAAATTTAGTCTCTGTTCTAGAATAATAAAATGATACCCCTTTATTCAATTATTGTTAAAACCTTTCGGCCCACCTGCACCTCTCATATCTACCTTGTCTTTGTTAACTTAAAATAATACAAAATATGGATAATTATATAAGCATTTAAAAAATAGTTCATCAGGTTTCCATTACCAATAGTTCACATAGTTAAAAAATAAAATAATATATTGGGTTAACATGTTTAATAGAGTTTGTAACAACAAAACCAATGTTTTTCTAAACTAAAAAAAACATCTAATAAACAAACCAACAGATAACATAATAAAACATAATAAATAAATACTAAAAGCTAAAAGTATAATTGTATTAATGAATGGTTGCGAGACATCAACTTTCTTTAATAAAACATTTTTTAATTACAATTAAGGCCTTTGGCTGGACAAAGACACGAATACAAAGCAAATCTAGAAATAACATTGTACAATCAAGGTACACCATCTAAAGCACTGAACATAGTCACATAGACATCACATCCAACTATAGATATCAATGAACTTGCAAGTGGAAATTTATCACCAAAACCACCTAAGGGCAAAACCGTCAAGAACATCCTTTATCACCTTAAACACTATAAATTAAGGAGTACAATTTTCAAAGGCAAGTCATAATTAAATAAACATCAATATAGAAAGAAACTATGTGAGAAACTTTTTAATCCTTGTTTTTGTCATTAATTTTCTGATCCAGATCCAAAAACACCAAAAATAAAACAACAAATAAGAGATCTTAAACAATAAAAATAAACACATATATTTATACGTAAACACACAAATTTAATCAAACATTCGAATTTATAGAACAAAATAAATAATAAAATGTTAAAACTGAAATAGCGCCAATCTTGAAGCCTTATTTCATAAATATTTCAAGATTTCTAGAACACTGTAACAAATCATTACAAATTAAGCCAATTTAAAACTCTCTACATAGTAATCTAAATATCAAATAAAGGAACAAAGTTCCAAGTCAGATATGGAGTTCAATAAATTAAGGTTAACCTGATCTTGGCTTTGCTTGTTGTATTTGCAGTTCGATTCCCTCAAAAAATGACCAAGTTCTTCATCTGAAATTTTCCCAAAATAAATTCAAGTCCATTAAATTTGAAATTTTCCCAAAATAAATCAATAAAAATTATTATGTAAAATAAACAAAAATCAGAAAATACTGACTATCAAAATCGAAAGCCAAAACAACACAAATGTAGGCTTCAGCACCCACACATAGATATATTCGGAAATCATTTTGGGAAAAAACAACAAAATAAAACATAGATCTAACATTCAAACGCATATCCATCAACCATCAGGGACACATATACACAAAAAACAGATCATACAAATACTTTTCACCATACACACACATAGTTTAATATGTCTTACATACACACAGTTTGAAAGCCTCATAGTTTATGTATCTATTCAACACCAGTTAAATAAGTCATATACCTGGAAATCGAATCCAATTTTTCCAAGTGCTAAAATCGATCAAATCAAGAACCTATTCAGAATAAACCTTTAATCATCAACTTGAACAAAAAAGAATATTATAAGTAGATCTAAATCCAAATAAAAAAACGACATACACACAGATTTAGACAGAGGCCATCAATTACAGGAGGTAGGAGGTCGGAGGTCGAAACATATGCAGACACCATAGGGACAATCGATTTCACTAATTTTTGAGGAACTTTGGCTAGGGTTTTTCTAATGACGAACGGAGAGAGGATTTTGGTGTGAGGAAGGTAGTGGAAGAGGTGGCGATGCTTCGTCATGGCAGATTGGGGAGGTATCGGTGTGTCGACAACTGGTATTGACGCCAGCTAAGATTGAAAATGTCGAATGGGAAGAGATGGCGGAGATATGAAGTGAGCAAAATTTCTTGGTCGTAGGGGCAAAGGGTGTTGGTATCGGCTGTTAGCTTTTGATTGAGAGGGAGAGAGTAAGGGATTTAGACGAACAAGAATGGCGATCCGTGTTCTTTCAGTTTAAATGGTTGGATTAACGTTACGGATCAACGGCCAGTGGGGTGATCCGTGTGGTTTCTTGTAACTGGTGAACATTTTAAGTTCAACTTTTGTGTAACCAAGCCACTCTCTTAAAATTAAGTTTGTTTTAATATTGATTCGCTGATAGGTATTCACACGGATTACTATCTTCACCTTTCATTTTCAATCCAAAGGCTTATATCCCTTCTTCTTGTTTTTAAGACAAAAGTCTTAAAATTTATGGAGCCCACATTTATAAATGCATTATAATGTAGTATATATATATATATATATATATATATATATATAATGTTTCAACGACTAAAATAGAATGGGAGGGGAGGAAGTACGATGAATTCTAATGTGGGAGAGAAAAAATTCGGTGAAAATGGGGAGGATTGGTGTTCACCATACCTCGTCGTGGTTCACGTAAGCTCATCACAAGGTACGGTTCTCCTATACTCTATAGTTTAATAATATAATGAAGCTTAAAAAACAATTTATTGGTCTATTGAGTATAACTTAAAAAACAAGTGACTTAAAAATCAAATTTAAAGTTATTGGCGGCCATTTTGTTACATAAATTCGTAGGTAATTATGAATATGTATTAGCATGATGTACTTGTTCCTTCTAGACTAAAGGACATGTTTCTATTTTGTGAGATTTATTGTTTGTTCCTTTATTACGATTGTTCTAATGTTTTACGTGGCTGGGAGTTAAAAGTATTGGAGAATATTTATAACTACATTTATTGGTAAAACTTGACAATTTTTTAGTGAAATAATATTGAATTACACCACCCCTTAAAGAAATAGTATGAGAATACAATGCACAATGCTCTTTTAAGAAATAATATGGAAGTACAATGCTCTAATAAGAAGTAGTATCAAAGTACAATGCTCTTTTAAGAAATAATGTGGAAGTACAAAGCTCTAAAAAGAGGTAAAATGAAAGTATAATGGTCTTTATGAATCAATTTCAACCGTCCCGACGTAGCCTTGTAAAGCCAGGGTAAAATCGAAAATAGCTTGGGCATAAGCTTGGTCTATTGAATTACAAAACAACACATTATTCAAGGCCCACATGATTTTCCTAGGCCGTCTAATACTATTCAAGGCTCCGTTTTAGCCCATCATGTAATAACCATCTTCAATAAATATGTATTATAAACTGTGTGTGCACGTACTATAATTACTAGGATGCTTCCGTGAATAAAGGGTCTTGGAAATACCCATGAGAAAGTGGTAAAGGATTGAGCTTTAAAGTAGGTTTCTATAAAGGACCAAATTATGGATGGAGAGATGACAGAAAAGCGAAAGGAAAATAAAGGATGGACGCGACACTCTTATACATAAGCGCGACACGCTTCCTACAACAGGTTAAAAAACTGAAACTCGTCTTTATTCTTTCATTTACCACTTTCTCTCTAAAAAAAGACACACATTAAGGTGAGATCACACCTATTAACAACTGGGGAGAGCTCGAAGAAAAGAGATTTCAACTGCATGTGCATTATTCCTTTGAATTAAGGAAATAACTCATGATCTTAGCATCTAGTTCTTGGTTTTGTGGTGAAATGTTATGGTTTTGGTGAGTCTAAGTGAGGAATAAGAAAATGTTAGATAGAGATGATGTTCATATGTGCTGTAACAACTTTTATACCTTCAATACATATATGTAGTTTTTATGGTGAATTAGAGAGGAAAATGATGAACTCAACTTGGTAACTCTTGCATGTCTTGATTAAGAACATGAATTGATGAACTAAGTGATTTTAAGTTGTTATAGTAATTAAATGACTGAGTATGGTGAGGATTTAAAGGCTGAAAGGAACTAAAACTGGACTAATAAGGAGTTATGTTCGTTTGGCGCGGCGCACCAAGTAAAAGTTCGCGATGCGCCAATCCAGCTAAGCAAAAGCTTGGTTTTCGTTAAGGAAAATATGCCCAGTTAAGTAATAGGTATTTTAATACATGTAATGATATGTTTATTAAAGCGGGTGAAGTAAAGGAGCTAAAGAAGGGAGTTGAAAGCTCGAAAGATCCTCTATACAAGACGTAACGAGGTGAGTAGATAGTTGTACTTGGTGTTAAGACTGTGTTTAAACATAACTTAATGTATATATCTAGTTGTAAATGTTTCGTGGTTATCATTACAAGGATGAAAAAATCCTTGTCGGGATTAAATGATGCTACTTTTTGAGTGTCTATTTGATATTTATTGGTGTGACTTGGTAAGTGTCTGGTCAGTATCTTATGGTGCGACTTATTGAGTGCCTAGTCGATATTTATTGGCGTGACTTGATGAGTTTCTAGTTGATATCTAATAGTGCGAATTGTTGAGTGTCTGGTCGATATTTATTGGTGCGACTTGCTTAGTATTTAGTCGGCATCTAATGGTGCAACTTGTTAAGTGTCTAGTCGATATTTATTGATGTGACTTCTATGTGTCTAGTCAACTTTCATTGGTGTCAAGAACCATGGTGTAAATGGTGAGAGATGTGACTTATTGTGTGATGTGCTAAACATAATCTATAAGATAAACTCATTAAAAATAAAATTCTAGTTTTAAATTTTTAAAACCTAACAAACCAAACTGACTATCAACACCAGGCAGTGGACCTGACGGGGAATAAATAACTTAGATAGGTAAGGGTGTCGAACACATGGGGAATAGAAGTGTACTAATATATCAATATCATCTTATTAATAAATCTTAGTAGAAAGAATATAAATGGGAATAAGTGTCAGTCAAATAATAACAAATAAACAATCAAACAAACATAACAACCATGGCTAACTACATAGATAAGATAATCTAAATGTTCTCATATTTGTATTTAATCACTCCTCATTCTAAATATGATTTCATTCAAAGGGATATTGATTTGTTGTTATTGATTAGATAGGATGGTCATGTCACCAATCATATGTCTAACGTCCCTATTTTCAAACCAAAATTTTCATTTTTAAAACAACTCGATACCCTTTTCATTAAAGAAAGATCATAGTCACACATTCTTTTTAAATATTAGGAAAACATAATAGAGAGTTTTTGGTGGAAATCTTAAAACATAATTCTTTCTTTGATGCGGGTACAGTCACATTAGAGCTTTCCCATGATCAGAGGAACTACCCGAAAAACATTTGATCAACATTTGTAAGCACGAAGCTTAATGAATTCCCCAAAATAAGATATGTAACAATGAATATACAAACAAACAAACAATAGTTCACAATCTCTCATCGTTCCACCAATAATGGGTGTATTTCACTCGTGTCTTGTTGTCTTTCTGTCAACAACATGAGTCTATATGCTCACAGCCTGTCGTCATTCTGCCGTCAACTCCTCATATAGACATTGAAACGAAACATATAAACAATCATCCAATCATGCAGGAGAATGTACTAGTCCATACATACAAATTTACTCTAGTAGCCCTTATATCCTAGCATACAATCATATACACTGTAAGACATAATATAGTGAGATACTCACCTCAATAGTCCTGAAATAGCTAAGTAGGTTGGTTTGCAGACGACTCAACAAACATGAGACAACTTATAGTACTATATTGATTACTAACTATCTAATTATAATAACTTATATTTAGATCCTTCACTAATCCTACAATATTGGATTGGCTATCAAATAAGGATTGGCCAGTCAAGACAATCGGGAGGCAAGACCATTTCAACATATAGCCTTTATGAAATCAAACAGCCATACCAACGTGTCTATCCAAGACACCTCTCCTGTAAGTAGACGTACCAATCAGTACTTTAATTGGAATCAATGACTAAACTAGTACTTATTGGTTCATAACAACGACTATGAATATAATCAGTTATATTTAAGAGTAAGTTTAACTTACTCAGTTGATGTAATCTGGATGGCTACAAGTGTAATTAAAAAATATATAGTATATAATACAAGAATATGGGCCAGATATATACACAAGGGCTAGACTAACTATAATACAATAAATATACATTAACATACCCCTACAGTTTGAATGGGAGGATACTGACGAACATTTAAACATGATATAAAGTCCAAAAATAGGGAAGTATGAAGCCCTTTGGTGAAGATATCAACATACTGAGACGAAGACGAAACATGTGATATGCGGATTTGACCCATTGCTACTTTGTCTTGAATGAAGTGAATGTCGATCTTAATGTGCTTTGTTCGTTGATGTTGAACCAGATTATTAGACAAGTATACAACATTGAAGTTATCACAATATACGATTTTTACACGAATAGTAGGGGATTGCAATTCCAATAATAAGTTTTGAATCCAAGAAGTTTCAGCTGCAACATTAGCAACACTGCTATATTCAACCTCGGCACTAGAACGAGAAATAGTAGCTTAACGTTTAGACGACCAGGATAATAAATTTTGTCCCAAAAATACACAATAGCCCGAAGTGGAACGTCTAGTTTTCGAGCAACTAGCCCAATCAATATCGGAGTAGGAAAAAAGACCACAATCAGATGTGGAGTATAAATGTATACCATGATCAATAGTGCCCCAAACATTACAAATAATCTATTTAAGAGCCATGAGATGTGGTTCCTGAGGGTCGTGCATATATAAGCAAATTTATTGAACAACATAGGTAATATCAAGAGACGTGAAAGTAAGATACTAGAGATCCCCAACAAGATTGCAGTAGGGTGTAGGGTCAGAAACCGGTTATCCGGAGTCATAAAGTTTGGCCAACATGTCAACAGGAGTGCGAGCGGGATTACAGTTGAGCATATTTGCTTTAGTTAGAATCTCAAGAGCATATTTACGCTGCAAAAGAAACATCCCATGAGAATCTTGCACAACAGAAACACCTAGAAAATAATTCAGATCTCCAAGATCTATCATAGCAAAATCTGACCCAAGAGTGGAAGCGATCTTACATAATATCTGGGAAGAAGAGGCTATGAGAATGATATCATCCACATAAAGAAGTAGATATACAGTCTGAGTGCCCTTCCGATAAATAAACAAAGAATTGTCAGTTTGGCTATTAGTAAAGCCAAACCTCTAAAGCTACTGATCAAACTACTGAAATCATGCTCTCGGGCCTGTTTG